GCTTTTTTCTTTTTGCTTATGTGGTGCTGAGGAATCGAACCCAGGGCCTCATGCATGCAAGGCAAGCACTCTACCACTGAGCCACCTTCCCAGCCCCAAGCCCCTTAAATGTTGGAAGTGGAGCTGTGGCTCAAGTGGTAGAACACCAGCCTTGAGAGAAGAAGCTGAGAGGGTGTACTCTGGTTCTGAGTACAAGCTCCAGTCCTGGCGAGGGGAAGGGGGAGGAGGACCAAGAGAGAGAAGGAAGGAAGAAGGGGAGAGAGATTTAGTAATTTACTCAAATAGTTTCATGATTGGTGAAGCTAGAACTCAAGAAGCCTAGTTTTAATCTAAAACACTCTACTATATTGTTCCCAGACAAAACCCCCTTTTTTTTCTCTTTTGGAAGAAATCCATATATTTATAGTATATCCAAAATGCTCAGAACTTTATTTGTTTGAAAGGCCTGCCCCCTAGCCAAACAGCGCCAGCACCACACGGCTTTCTGCTGCCACCAGCCTGAACAGGGCCCCCATCACTTCCGTACGGCAGCCACCCGGCCCATCCCTCCGTGCTTCTTTCAATAGAGAGTTTGGAACAGACAAGCTTGCTTGCCATGAGAAAGGTAAATGAAGTCAGCCTGGAGGTAAACAAGCTGTGTGAACCACAGAACATTTGGCAGCCACCAGAGCCTCACAAGTGCCTGTGCATGCCACGTGCCACTGGAGTAACCGCCTTATTCTGTTTGATGTAATTTTGCTATTTGAAGCTGAATCTTTAAAATTAAACCCATTGAGCAACTGCCATCTTTAAATACTGACATTTGGGAGAGGTTTAGTGTTAAATTATTTGGAATCAGATGTTGTGTGAGTGAAAACATACCACACGTGGATTTTGGCGGTGGTGATGTGAACCTTTGGAAACAGTGCTAGAACAAGAGCAGTCCTGTGGATTGGAGGAAGAGCATCTTTGAAACTACCTCAGAGAAAACCACTGCTTTTTGAAAGGAATGACAGGGGTTGCTTAGTGTAGAGCATGCTTGCATTGTCACAAATATTTGGCACAAGCTAAGTGATATTTTAACGCTGGCTTTTTCAGGAATTGATCATGAATCTGTTATTTCAGAGTGAGACTGGAGGAGTGGCATGCGTTATTTTACAGTGTGAGTCATCGAGGGCGGCTGTGCCAGGCACACACACTTGGAGACAGTGATGAAAGCCTGCTGTAAGCAATGGTGCAGTTAGGCTGCTGCTCAGTCTCAATTGTTCCATGTCTGAGAAAACTCTTCAGTAACCCAACAGAATTGCAACCCTCTACAGTTGAAAAAACAACCTCAAGGAGGGGATTTATGTTCTTTTTAATTTTGAATTTTTCTAGCACTTGGCACTTGGCTTCTAGTTTTGTTTTCCTGGTTATATGTGTATAAATTTGTGGTGTTTCAGATTGAACCCTTTATACTTGGAAAACATTCTACCACTGAGTTACATCCCCTAGCCCTTGTTTTTTGTTTTTTGGGTTTTTTCCCCCCAGAGAGTTTCTTGCTATAGAGGCTGCTCTGCATCTCAGGATCCTTCCTCCTCTGCCTCTGAATGCTGGGAGAAAAATCATACACCACTATACCTGGCCAGTTGTCATATATTCTTGTTGTTCCATGCTTACTAACCTAAATGATTCAGCTAAAATCTGAGCAGTGTCCCTCAATAGACATTCTCAAAAGAAAAACAAATCTCCAACAGGTATATGGAAAAGTGCACAACTTTACTAATCATCAAGGAAATGCCAATCTAAACCACAGTAAGATACCACTGTACTCTAGTTAGAGTGGCTGTTATCAAACAGACAAAAGTAACAAATTCTAATGGGGAAATAGAAAAAGGGGGAACCTGTACAACTTTGGTGGGAGTTTAAATTTGTATAGTTATGAAAAACAGTGTAGAAGTTTCTCATGTAATCCACCATCCCATTACTAATGTATGGGTAAAGAAAATTAGGAATCCACATACACAAGAATATTATCCAATAATAAAAAATGAATTCTGTCACTTGTAACAACATGGATAAAACTGAATATCATTATGTTAAGTGAAATAAGCCTGGCACAGAAAAAGCACGTACCCCATGATCTTACTCATTATATGGACTCTGAGAACGTTGATCTCATAGAATGGTGGTTACTAAAAACCAGAGAATGTTCCATGATACATAGCAAAATGAATGTTTGAAAAATGGAAAAACTTTTCAATTTTATTGAAGAATATAATATGTTGTCTCTGAAAGAAGGTTGTTTAAATATTTTAAGAAAAGCTAGATGATATAATTGGTTGGAACCTGATGTACAAGAAACCATGGTTCTGTTTTACATGAGGAAACAGTTACCTTCCTCAGTAACCTCAAAGCTGTATCCAAGAGCTGGCTCCTAAGTTGAAGCTACTGTCACCATAGATGTATTTCATAATTATGACTAGTTAGAATAGATATAAATGGACTAAAGTCACCAATCAAAACATAGAGCTTGGGTGGCATGGTGGCTCAAGATTGTGATCCTGCTACTTCGGGGGCAGAGATTGGCTGATCAAAGTTCAAGGCTGTTCCAGAATTAAAAGTTTATGAGGAAGTGGCACTGTAGCTCAAGTGGTAGAGCGCTTGCCTTGAGCTGAAGAGCTGAGGGACAGCACCCATGCCCAGAGTTCAAGCCCCACGACCGACAAAAAAAAAAAAAAAAAGTTTATGAGAGGCAAGAGCTGGTGGCTCATGTAATCCCAACTACTGAGGAGTCTGAGATTTGAGAATCAAGGTTCAAAGCCAGCCTATGCAGGAAAGTCTGTGAGACTCTTACTCAAATTAACCACAAAAAAAGCCAGAAGTAGAGCTGTGGCTCAAGTAATAGAGCACTAGACTTCACCACAAGTGTCTAGACCCTTGTTTAAGCCCTAGGAGCAGCATAGGCATGTGTGTGTCACACACACACACACACACGTTTGTGAGACTCCATCTCAACCAGTGGTAGGTACAGTGGCTTGAGCCTGCCATCCGCAGCGAGAACACAAGTTGGAGAATCACAGCCCAATCTAACCCAGGCATAAAAGTGTGACCTCACCCAAAAATCACCAAGGCAAAAGGAGCTGAAGGTTCAGATCAAGTGGTAGAGTATCTGTCTTGCAAGCCAGGTTTCTGAGTTAAACAAAAAGTATCAGGTTTATAGATACCAGAATCTAATAAAGACTGCAGTTTTTCAAGATATTTTAAATATTCATATGTTTATTGAAAAAATAAGTATATTTGAAGGAAACTGATAGAACTGGAAGAGAAAATAAACAGCCCTTGTCATCCATTGAGTTTTCAACAGCAACCAGCAAGGATAAGCAATGCAGTTTTTAAGCATTGTACAGAGGGGCTACAATTACATAAGTAAGGTATAAGTACATTTCTTGTCAAATTTGTTACCCCTTCCCTCATTTTTCTCCTACTTTCCCTCACTCCAACCCCCCAAGTTGTACAGATCATTTCTAACATACTGCAACAGCGATATTCACAAGCAATGCATTTTAAGCAAGCCCTAATAGACATATGTAGATTCTGAACCTATATGCTTTTTCTTTAAGTACAAATCAGTTAACAAAATCAGTAATGTTTTTGGATAACATTCCACAAACATTTCTTGTAAAGGTGTGGATAGAGAATATTTTATTTTATTTATTTATTTTTTATGGGGGGGGTCCAGTCATGGGGCCTGAGCTCTGGACCTGGGCGCTGTCCCTCAACTCTTCAGCTCAAGGCTAGCGCTCTACCACTTGAGCCACAGCGCCACTTCTGGCTTTTTTCTTAATCTTTATGTGGTACTGAGGAATCGAACCCAGGGCCTCATGCAAGCAAGGCAAGCACTCTACCACTGAGCCACCTTCCCAGCCCGAGAATATTTTAGGTATATTAATTTAAGTATTATGTAGCAAAGAGAAACAATTTTTTTTAGTAGTACTGAGATTTGAACTCAGGGACTCTAAGTTGCTGGGCATGCAGTCTACTACTTGCTCTTAAGTCTGCAGCCCTTTCTAGATTATGTTTCAGAGAGTGCCAGTTTTTGCTCAAGGCCAGCCTCCCTCCTCAGTCCTCTTCCTACCTATGGCCTCCTGCTAAGCCGGGAAGGCAGATGTACCACCATACTTAGCATATTTTGTCAAGATGAGGTCTTGAGAACTTTTTGCCCAGGCTAGAAATCCTCCCAGTCTCTTCCACCTGAATAGCTGAGATGATGTGTAGGCATGTGTCACTGCTTACAACTTGGGGCTGGGAAGGTGGCTCAGTGGTAGAGTGCTTGCCTTGCTTGCATGAGGCCCTGGGTTCGATTCCTCAGCACTACATAAGCAAAAAAGAAAAAAAGCCGGAAGTGGCGCTGTGGCTCAAGTGGTAGAGCGCTAGCCTTGAGCTGAAGAGCTGAGGGACAGCGCCCAGGCCCAGAGTTCAGGCCCCATGACCAGATCCAAAAAAACAAAACAAAAAAAACCAAACTTGTTTTCTTAAGATGGAATCCTGAGAACTTTTTGCCTAAGCTCACCTCTAGCCATGATCATCTTGATTGCATCAACCTAGCCCAAGAAGACAATTTAAAAAAATGAATTGATGAAATAGAATCTTTATATAAACAAACAAATATTAATCTACTATTAATTTTGTTTTTTCAGTCATCTGAAACCACTTTCACTTTGTAGAGTACACAGAAACAGGTGACTGACAGATTTGTTTCACAGGCCAACCTAACAGGACATCAACAAAATGTCAGTAGATTTGTGTCATGATTTGCATCAGGAGTCTAGGCAGGATCTCTGGACACAGTACAACTGAGCTGGAAGTCAATGACAAAAAGATAAATTTGAGAGATCCTTGCATATTTGAAAATGTTTAATGCATGGCTAAATAGCTCTTGAGCTGAAAAAATAAATTTAAGAACACTTGTCAAGGGGGGAGGATTAGGTAGGGGACAGGGGAGGATGGGAAGGGATGGGAAGGGGAAACAAAGGAGGAGGCTATAATGCTTGATAAGAAATGTACTCATTACTTTGCCCATGTAATTGTAACCCCTCTGTACAGTATTTTCACAATTAAAAAAAAAAGAACACTTGTCAAATCCTAGAACTGAAGGATAATGAAATCGTGTAACAAAATTTGTAAGATATGATTAAAATGGTAATGTGAGAAAAATGGATAACCTTACCATTTTTCCACCAGTTCTAAGGATCAAACCCAGAGCCTCCTGCTAGGCAAGTGCTGTACTACTGAGCTATATCCCTAATGTAGCCTTAATTATTTATGCAGTATTCCTCATTATATAAGAGTAATATCATGGAAAATCCATAGTAATTCACCTCAGTAGATTAACGTTAAAAAATGTGATCATTTAAATAGACATATTTGTTAGACTCAATATTCAAGAAGAAATAATGTTTCAAGTTAAATTTCTTTTACTTCATTTTGATCTGGAAAATATTATTTGTAAGACTATAAGGGAGTAAGAAACTTGGAGCTTATTATTTTATTTTGGGAAGAAGACACTGATGGAGAAGCTGTTTCCAGTCATAACCTGTATATAAGCAGTGGTTTAGAGCAAGGGCCCTGGAGCCTGGGATTAGTTGTGACTGCTACTTGACCACTGTGTATCTGTGAACAAGTCACTTAATCCTTCTGTGCCTTAGTTTTGTTTTGTTTTGTTTTTTTCTGTAGATAGGGTGATGTCTATAGGTAGTTGTTATAGGCCTATGAATTAATGTACACAAAGCACATATAATAGTGGTAGCATGTAGTACACAATATAACTTTTCAAATAATACCTATTGTTCTTTAGACTGTCTTGACAATCATAGTCAAAAGGCTAAGTTAATGATTATATCTGGTGTTTGCCTTTTCCAGTTATGAACTGATGCTTCTTTATCTCAAAGGTGAGTGATTTCACATGGAGCCATGATGGAACTCAAGCGCTTATTTCATATCGAGATGGGTTTGTCCTGGTTGGTTCTGTCAGTGGACAAAGACACTGGTCATCTGAGATCAACTTGGAAAGTCAAATCACATGTGGCATATGGACTCCTGATGACCAGCAGGTAATGCTTCTAGGGCATGAGGGTGCGGTATTACCCTGGGGCTGGGAAGGGAGGAGAGGTCAGGAGAGGAGCTGCAAAGGCCTCTTACAGAATCATTCTCTCAGTGTGTGTGAGAGAGAAGTCTTTTCACAGTGTTGTACCTGTGGTATCCAGCATTTGTTGAAGAAACTGCCTTTCCCTCCAGGACATTTTTTTGACAAATCCGATGACCACTGCTATGAGAGTTTATTTCTGGATCATTTATTTTATTGGTCTTTGGGTCTGTTTTTGTGCTCTGCACTTTATTATGGTTCTGGAATATAATTTGAAGTCAGGTATTGTGATACCTCTGATGTTTTTCTTTTTGCTCAGTATTGCTTTGGCTACTCAGGGTCTTTTATGCTTCCATATACATTTTGATTGCTTTTTCTAATTCTTTTTCTAATTCTAAGAATGACATGGAGATTTTGATGGAGATTGCATTGATGGCTTTCAGTAATATACCATTTTCGCAATGTTAGTGCTGCCAATCCATAAACGTGGAATGTATTTCCATATTCTGTACCTTTTCCAATCTTTCTTCAGTGTTTTATAGTTATAATTGTAGAGGTCTTTTATCCCTTTCCTTCTTTCCTTCCTTCCTTCCTTCCTTTTCATCCCTCCTCTTATTCCTTCTCTCCCTCTTCTTTCTCATTCCTTTCTCATCTTCTTTCTCCTCCTCTTCCTCTTCATCTCCTTTTCTTCTTTCTTCCTCTTCCTTCTTCCTTTCTTTTCCTCTTCTTTCTCCTCCTCCCTCTTCTCTTTCTCCTCCTCCCTCTTCTTTTCCTCCTCCCTCTTCTTTTCCTCCTCCTCTTTCTCTTCCTCCTCTTCTTCTCTTTCTTCCTTTTCCTCTTTGTAGTCTTCCTCTTCTCCTTCTTCTGTCCTGAGGCTTGAACTCAGGGCCTGGGTGCTGTCCCTGAGCTTTCTTGCTCAAGACTAGTGCTCTACCACAGCTTTACTTCTAGCTTTTTGTTAGTTGAATATAGATAAGAATCTCCCAAGTTTTTCTGCCTGAGCTAGCTTTGAACCATGGTCTTCAGATCTCAGCTTCTTGAATAGGTAGGATTACAGGTGTGAGCCACCAGTGCCTGGCCTCACCTTCTTCTTCTTCTTTTTTTTGGTGGGGGGTGGCGTCCTGGGGCTTGAACTCAGGGTCTGTGCACTGTCCCTGCCACTGAGCCATAGTGCCCTCCTGGCTTTTTTTGTTTATGTGTACTGAGGAATTGAACCCAGGGCTTCATGCATGCTAGGCAAGTACTCTACCACATTCCCAGCTCCTGGCGTCACCTTCTTAGTAAGTTTATTTCTAGATATTTTATTTACTTTTTTGGGGGGGGTCTGAACTGGGGCCTGAACTCTGGGCCTGGGCGCTGTCCCTCAGCTCTTCAGCTCAAGGCTAGTGCTCTACCACTTGAGCCACAGCGCCATTTCCAGCTTTTTTCTTTTTGCTTATGTGGTGCTGAGGAATCGAACCTAGGGCCTCTTGCATGCAAGGCAAGCACTCTACCACTGAGCCACCTTCCCAGATCCTATTTTATTATTTTTTTAACCTCTTTGTAGATGCAATTGCTTTCCTGATTCTTTTTTCTTTTTTTTTTTTCTGGTTACTTTTCAGCCTTTTTGTTGTTAGGGCATAAAAAGCTACTGATATTTTATGTTACTTGTGTATTCTGCTGCTTTGCTTAAAGTGCTTATCAGGAGGAAGCCTTTAGGGCCTTTTAATTATAGAATCGGATCATTTGCAAAGTGTGATAGACATACACATGTGCTTTCTCTTTGTATCCCTTTTCTTTCTCTTACCTTATTGCTCTGGTTAGGAATTACATGTTCTATAGCGAATAAGAGCAGAGAGTGTAAACATTTCTCTTGTCTCATTCTTGACGTTACAGACGTGGCTTTGGGAGACTCTATCTCCAAAAATAACCAGCAAAAACAAAATAACAATTAAAGAAAGAAATTAAAAAAGAAACTGTCACTTATATTCATCTGCACTCTTAACACGTTTGGTAAGATGAAAATAATACACACTTTTAAAATATAAGGTAATGACAAGTAACAGATTTGAATTCAAGGTAATTTGCTACCTCCTCAAAAATAATCCAAATAATAAGTGGCTCTGTAGGGATTTTTTAATTGTCTATTTTTCCTTTTCCTTTTAAACTGTAAATTAAGCTTCCTTTTTTTTTTTTTTTTTTTTGCAGAAGTGGGGTTTGAACTTGGGTGCTCATGCTTACCAGGCAGGTATCTTACCACTGTGTCATGCCTCCAACCCTCCCTGATTTTGCTGGTTATTTTTGAGATAGGTTCTTCTTTCCTGGCTGATCATCCATCCAGGCTACATTTGCTAATGTTAGGCTTTCCACTGTAGCTAGGGTAACAGGCATGACCACTGCCTTGCAAACTTTTTTGCTAGGCTGGTCTGGAACCACATTCTTCCCAGTCTCAGCCTCTCAGGAGGTTAAATTGATATCATGAGCCACCAGTTTCTGCCTAAAATGTGAATTAAATATTTTAAACTTGTATAAGATTTAACTGAAGTATAATAGACTCTATGGAAAACTCAAATAGTATAATATTTTAAAAAGACTAGGTTGGACTTCAAAAAATAAGCCCCAGGAAACAGGTACTTGTAAGGAGAGAGGAAAGCCAAGGAGAGAGGGGTAGATGAATGGAGGGGGAAATGGGGAGAGTGCAGTTAAGCTCTCATTGTATGTCCCACAGAGTTAAGAAAAGTGAGGGAGGGGCTGGGAAGGTGGCTCAGTGGTAGAGCGCTTGCCTTGCATGCTCGAGGCCCTGGGTTCGATTCCTCAGCACCACATAAGCAAAAAGAAAAAAGCTGGAAGTGGCGCTGTGGCTCAAGTGGTAGAGCGCTAGCCTTGAGCTGAAGAGCTGAGGGACAGCGCCCAGGCCCAGAGTTCAGGCTCCATGACTGGACCCCCCCCAAAAAGAAAGAAAGAAAGAAAGATGGACAACTACTATATTTGTACTTTTATTTTCTTTTGTTGGCATTGTTTTAGTTATTGACAAAGGCAGTTAAAATGTTTGAAACTCCAAAGCTGGGAGTAGTGATTCAAGCCTGTAATCTCGGCACTTGGGAAGCTGAAAGAAGATGATCACTATTTGAAGTGACCATCCTAGGCTGTAAAGACAGCAAGACTATCTAAAAAAAAAAAAGTTGAGAAATCCAGTTAATATTATGTCTGACTCAGATCATTGCTGAATTACTTGGTAAAGACTCCATATATATGAATCATTAAATACTTTACCTGAAAATCTTTCTTGAAGTTTACATTGAACAAATTAGGTTAACAATGGAACATGGAACAGAATTACTGATATACATTGTCTTTTATTATATGTACCTTCTTAGTCTTGATTTCTTGTTTGTTTTGGGTTAGATTTTCTTCAGATGCCTTTATTAGTACCTTAGCCTTAATTTTGACTCAGAGATCTTGTCTGAATGCCAATGTTTGGCCAGATGGCTAAATCATAGAATCAGTATCCCCAGGGTTTCATGTCACATTCCTTTGGAATCATGGTATTAAGAGTATCCCATGCCATGTTTGGGGAAGATAGATGTATGCTGTGTTTAACATGTGTCTATTCCTGGGACAGAGACTTTCTTTGACTATAGTCTTGTCCAGTCTGCGCCCTCTTATGAACTGTACCTATTCTGGGCCTACTAAGACCACAGAAATTTAGCATACATGTTTTCATCCATGCCCCTTTGCGACTTGAATAAAACTGGCATTGTTTCTAACAACTCAAGAATAATAATGGATAATAATGACACTATCACTTAAGTTCTTATGTAGGACAGCTCAAGGCTACAGGGGGACTGCTTGTACAAGCTCTGAGCCAAGACAAGGCCATCTTTTTTTGTGGCAGAGGATTCTAATGATATAAGCAGACCCAATTCACATTGACAGACTTTCTTGCTTTTCTTCTTTTTTCTATTCTACTTAAGGCCCAACATATACTCCCTTCTTCCCTCCCTCGTTTTTCCCTTAAAATGCTTGGTCACTTCTGTACAGGTACAGGTGGAGTTGAGTTCACACTGGGTTCTTCAGTTAAAATCTGTCCTTCCTCTTTTACGTTTTGTCATTGGCCCCATCCACAGAGCTGTAGGGTCTGATGCTTCTTCACAGATGTGAAGCTTTTAGGGAGGGACGTTTACTGCTAGTCCACAGGAGGGGAACTGGCTTCATCATAGTTAAGAACATATCAAGATATAGTTTGAAACAACTTAAAAGTTTGTGTAATATAACTTCATTGCTCTCAGAGAGACTGGCATTCAGGGAGACCAAATAAACACTGTTGCTAGATGGTTTCTAGTCATGATAGACCTAACCCAGCCACAAGATGACTGCTGTCATGAATTGTTCCCCAGTAGGCCTAACCCATTCACACTGAATAAGCTAGACAGATTATAGCATCATTTGGCATCTCCCATGAACCAAAAGTGAACATCTCTCTCAGGTCTCTTGATAACTGGCTATGCTGTGCAGTTATGTCTTGCTTCAAAGACCTGGCATAGGGCTGCATTCTGGAAGCATTTCTCTCTCCTAGTTCAAAGTATATTTTAAATGTACTTTTGATGTTATATCCACATTGTATGAAACTAAAAGCATATATGACAAACAGATCCCTTCCTCTGTCTTCAGGCCAGCCAGTTCTTCTCAGAGACATTACCTGAATACTCTTCTAGAGCTGTTCTGATAAATGCATTTTTATCCACCCTATGATTAGAAGGTTTTATAAATTTCATTGTGGAGCCTGAATATTTTTTGGGAAATATTTTAGTGACAGAAATCATTTAATATCAAGACATTCATGTTTTGAGGCCTAAGGCAGATAGAATATCTCATCTGAAATCTTTATAAACACTGGATAGCCTCTTGTCTTTATGAGTTAGTTTAGAAGTGGTTATTCCTTTAACAAAGAGTTGAGATGATGTCACAATGATATATTTAGCCTTAGGGTATAGATTTAGAAGTGATTATTAAAGTCAACTGTGAAATTGCATTTTATGTCTTCAAAAAATCAAACAAACAAAAATGGGAAATATTCTATCAAGTGAACAGTTTTGTAGTTGCAGTTGTTGGTTTCAGTAACTATTTTATCTGTTGATTGTGTGGCTTGAGCTTAGGACCTGAATGCTGTCTCTGAACCTCTTTGTGCTCAAGGCTAGTGCTCTACCACTTGAGCCATAGGGCCACTTCCAGTTTTTGAGTGGTTAATTGGAGCCTCAGATCTCGGCCTTCTGAGTAAGTAGGATTACAGGCGTGAGCCACCAGCACTTGGCAGTAACTATTTTTAGTTGCAAAATATTCAAATGTGGCCTTCAAGCCTTTTTGAAGTCCAACGTTTGAAACCTACCAGAAGGTTGAGAAAAAATGTGCTCCAGCAGCATATCAAAACACAAAGCTCCTTCTAAGAAAAGGAGTTGTCAGCAGCTGCCCTTCTCATTTCTGTTCTCAGCAGCCCATTCAGATATCTGCCATCTGCAGTGCTCTGTTTTCCAGGAGGAATTTGTCGTTAGTTTTTATGTATTTCCAGTTTTAAATCATAAAGCAAATGAGAGGAGTCTCTTCTTTTAGGGATAGTACTAATGCTGGTAATTACAATCCTGTTACAAAAGAGTAAACTTGGAGTTCTTGGAAGCACGTTTGAAGTGAAATTTTTTAGTATTTCTTTTTCTTGACAAATTTAGATGAGATCTAATGTTTTCAAAAAATAAATTTTTGGCTGGGTGCCTGTGGCTCATGCTTGTAATCCTAGCTACTCAGGGGGCTGAGATCTGAGGATCACGGTTCAAAGCCAGCCCAGGCAGAAAAGTCCGTGAGACTCTTGTCTCCAATAAACCACTAGAAAACCGGAAAAGGCGTTGTAGCTCAAGTGGTAGAGTGCTCACCTTGAGCTGAAGAGCTCAGTGATAGCGCCCAAGCCCAGAGTTCAAGCCCCATGACCGACCAAAAAAACCAAAAATAAAGATTTTTTGAAATAATTTCACATTCTCTTCTCATCATGCTTTGTTTTGTAGATTGGCTTGGTTTTGTGTGTGTGTGTGTGTGTGTGCGCTTGTACTAGGGTTTGAAGTCAGGGCCTAGACCCTGCCTCTTAGCTTTTTTCTCAGGAGACTGGCACTCTTCCACTAGAGTGTGGCTTGGTTCATTTCAAACTACTGGTAATAATTGTTTTTATTTAGGAATAATTACTTCTAAAAATAGTTGTAAAGGGATTATATTGAAATAAAGGTTTTGTGTACAGATACTATAATTGCATTGCTATTAGAAACTACCCTCAGGGTATATATTCTAGGCTGAGAGTGAATTAAGCACAAAGAAAGCACTGAACTAGAATAGCCCCGCCTACCATTCTTGGTTAGCTTATGTGGTATTGGTGTACACTTCACCTGCATTCCTGAAGCTTACAAGTCATCAGAAGAAGCAGTAGGATAGAAATTTGCATACACCATCATTGAAAAGTGCATACAACCAGGTCACTCTCAGTAAAGACTTTATCTCCAATGTCTAGCACTTAGTCTGACACATTAACAGATGCTTACATCTCCTGTGCAAAGGCTTGAGGGTCTACCACCCAAAATAATCTCCCTCTTCCCATGCCTCCACAGCAATATGAATCCCACACCGTTTCATGTGTGTCTGTCACATGGTGCCATCACAAGGGCATGATTAGCGATTATTAAAAAATGAACTCCCACCCCCAATCTTGGCTTTTGCCAGTTTTGCTACAAATGAAAGGGTAACTTCTTTCCTTTCTTCTTTAAACTAGAAATAACCCCCCAAAACTAGAAATCAGTGCTCAAATCCTCTTATGAAACTGGCCCTCAACGTATTTTCAATACGTTCAATATGCATTTCATCTTAGACAGGTGAAGTTGGAAAGGTTGAGTTGGCACATCAAGGGGAAATAGCTGGTAGACAGCTGGATGTGTGATCTGGGGGCTAGGAGAAAGACTTGGCAAGGACTTAGCTATAAATGAGACCTCTGAGTCTGTGGGTGTGATTGTGGTCTCAAAGAGAGCAAAGAGAAGGCTAGTATCAACCCTTAGGAACAAGCCAGGAAGGATCCTGGAATTGAGGCTGTGTCTAAGAAAGGGTCCCCATCATACTTGTTACTTGGCCAAAACATGGGAGCAGTAGCAGCAGAGATTAATGCCTTTGATATATTAGTATTCATTACTATTAGGCTTTCTGTCTTGTTCTCCTGAAGTTTTGGGATTTTTTTTGTTTTTGTTTTGTTTTTATAAGCTTTATTTCACTGGAAGTGATTAGGCATGAAAAGAACTTGTAATGAAAGATATTTCTTTCTTTTTTTGGGGGGGGGGTCCGGTCGTGGGGCCTGAACTCTGGGCCTGGGCGCTGTCCCTCAGCTCTTCAGCTCAAGGCTAGCGCTCTACCACTTGAGCCACAGCGCCACTTCCGGCTTTTTTCTTTTTGCTTATGTGGTGCTGAGGAATCGAACCCAGGGCCTCAGGCATGCAAGGCAAGCGCTCTACCACTGAGCCACCTTCCCAGCCCTGTGAAAGATATTTCTTAAAGTCTGAATTCATGTTGTATCCATGTTCTTCAGTTATTGTTCCAAACACAATTGCTCCCTCCATCATTGCTGACAACTATATTGTGATTGCTTCTTTCCCCTTCTTCCCATCTCAATAGTGGACTGTCTTCCTGTAGGAGCTGTAGCTGGAATGGATTAATAGCAGCAAACTTGGGACTTGAGCTTTGTTCTTTTTTTGGGGGGGGGTCCGGTTGTGGGGCCTGAACTGGGCCTAGGCACTGTCCCTCAGCTCTTCAGCTCCAGGCTAGTGCTCTACCACTTGAGTCACAGCGCCACTTCTGGCTTTTTTCTTTTTGCTTATGTGGTGCTGAGGAATCGAACCCAGGGCCTCATGCATGCAAGGCAAGTGCTCTACCACTGAGCCACCTTCCCAGCTCTTTGAGCTTTGTTCTGTTTTGCTATTGTGTAATGCTGAACACTGATAACTTGTTGCATCATCAGTCTTTTATTCAGTAATTATATGTCTGTACTTCTATCTGGTGTCTGTTTGTTCTCCAAAATGGAAAAATGTGTTGTCCAGTGCAGAAACATGTCCTTCCTTCTTTCACAACCACTTGCCTGGGCATCCTACGCCATGACTGGTCCTGGGGAGATACTGGTAAGCAAAGCTCACATGGTTCAAGTTTCAGTTCAGGCTGCTATAACATTATACCACAAACTGGGTGGCTGAACAACAGATGTTGCTTTCTCACAATTCTAGAGGCTGGAAACTTCAAAGTTAAGGTGCCAGTCAACTTGATTCCTGGGGAGGGATCCTTTCCTACTTCTGATGACTGTCTTTCCTGTGTTCTTACACTGCCTTTCTTCAGGGCTTAGGGTGGCACTGGGTGTACACAGGGGACATTAAGTGCCCACTGTATACCTAGAGCGTTGTCAGGTGCCAGAAATAGCTATGCAGGGCCTGCCTCCAGGTAGCTTAACATAAAAATCTCAAAAGTAAAACAGAATAGAATAGGTTGCCCCTGTGTATGAAGTGTAGTCTTTCTAGTCAGACAGCCTTAGTTTGACGGTTTCTTGGATTTGTTAGCTTAGCCTCTCCTAAGTTTTTTGTGTCTGTGAAATGGAAATAATGATTTTGTTGTTATGATGAAATGCTGGTAGACAGATTGCATTAAACATAAAAATATGGAAGGCTTCAGTATTTTCACAATAAAAAATATATATGGAAGGCTTTAATGGCAATATGTACAGGATTCTCCAGAGACCATCATACAAAGCAGATGGTAATGCCAGTCCTGCTTCCCAGGTCTCAAGGTTCCTCTAGGGACATCCTGCCAGTGACATGCTCACATCAAGGGAAGCTTCAACAGCCATCCCATTCTGTTCTTAGACTCATGGCCAGGTTAATACTTTGCAACCTTCCCTTAGCATTCTTTAGCTCAGGCAGTGTGCCTGCCTTCACCACCTACCATGTTCTTGTGTGTACTCATGAGACCTCTTGGATTCAAGGAAAAGTTCTCAGGAAAGACCCTTAGGGTACTCGGGCACCAGTCCCACCTGAGGTAGTGCTGAGGAGGTAGGAGGGGGATTACCCTGTGTTAGTGCCTGTTATTTTAGTAGTTAATGAGGTAAAGATTTTAGAATTTTGCTTATTAGTACAAAGTTACCACTAAGTGAATGTATTAATGCCTTTCATACAACATTGCATTATTAATTAAACTCAGGGCCATCCTCCATGAAATAAAACTTTATAAATTAAACATTAGAAATAAAATGATTTCAAGATCATCTTGTTTTCTAAATATGGTTAGGTAACATGCTTATGTAACCAAACATTCTCTTCTAAATGAGAAAATCACCATAGTGAATCTCAGTTGGCATCTTTATTTTCCACAAAAGTAAATGAATGTTACCATTTAAGCCCTATTCTCTAATCAAAATACAAAACGAATACAAAAAATGAAATTTATTTTGCTGATCTTGTTTGGAATCTCAATGTATGTTCATTGTGCTGTTAGTCACATTTCAATATTAAAGGTCTAAGATTCTTAAAATAATGGCCAGCTAGTTTCTACTACCTAATGTTTGCTACCCACAGGTTACCTAAATGGGAGATGTTTTGTTGTTGATTTGTTTTGTTATTTCAAAGTACATTTTTGTCTTCATAAAACAAATTGATACAGAGACTTACTCCCACTGAATCAAGAGTGCTGGCCCTTGGTTGCAGGTGCTGTTTGGCACAGCTGACGGGCAGGTGATTGTCATGGACTGCCACGGCAGGATGCTGGCCCACGTCCTGCTGCATGAGTCTGATGGCATCCTCAGCATGTCCTGGAACTACCCCATCTTCCTGGTGGAAGACAGCAGCGAGAGCGACACAGACTCCGATGACTACTCTCCTCCCCAAGGTAGCCGGCTCCCTGGCCCCTCACTTTGGCCATTTAACAGAAGAGAATGTAGGAATATTGAGGGAGAGTGGATCAATTTAGAGAAGGGAGGGTAAAGACCTGCCATATACACACCTCTAATTTATTGGGAAGCTTCCTTTTCTTTTCTTTTCTTTTTTGGTTGGGCGTGGGGCTTGAACTCTGGTAGGCCTGGGCGCTGTCCCTCAGCTCTTCAGCTCAAGGTGAGTGCTCTACCACTTGAACCACAGTGCCATTTCCAGTTTCCTGGAGGTTTATTGAAGATAAGAGTCTCATGGATTTTTCCTGCCTGAGCTGGCTTTGAACCACGATCCTCAGGTCTCAGCCTCCTGAGTAGCTAGGAATACAGACATGAGCCTGTCTGGGAAGAGTTCTTTTAAACTAAAATGCCAAAACAGGACTGGCATTTTCTTTCTTGATATAACTGTCTCCTCTCTGCCATCTCTTTGTCAAGATCACTGATGAAGTAGACTATATTCCATGGGTTTAGGTTTTTCTAGATATAAAATCAGATACATGGCTAGTCCTGTATCCCTCAGGCGTTGTAGGCTTAGCTACTTAGCAAGAATAAAAATTCTGTGCTTAATATGTGGTATAGCCAAATGCCTAGTGGTTCTAAAACCTGTAACTTTAGTTGCATCAAAAAAGGATAAAGTCTTCTAAAGGTCAGCCCCTGGACCTCTCGTATTCCATGCCTTTGTGCTCCTGGTTTCAGGCAGAAGTGCTTCCCCTTCTCAGTCAAAAAGCCCTAGTAGCAGACTTTCTGTAAGCCTCACTGTGATGTTAAATGCTTTTGGTAGGGGTGTCTTAGATTCTATCCTTTTTTACTCCTAACAGTGTGTGTTGTATCCCTCAAATGAGTAAGAAGACACCTTCTCCCTTGCCTCTCCCCCAGAAAAGTGGAAGTCTCTGATGTTATGGTGACCTTCATCAGCGCCAGCACTGGGCCTGCACTGGGCAGCAATCTTCCATCCTCTCACCTACCTTTTTTTAATGTATAATTAAGAATATATTTCAGTTTGGGATAAGTACTATATTTATTGAGCCAAAAACTATATAGTCAAATGGTTTTTTGAAATCTAACTACAAATGTATAATAAATAAGTAATTGCTGTAAGATCTAAATGACATTAACACATATATACATAGAACAAATATATGTTATCTGAGATAATTAATCTCATGGATAAGAAGTTAAAATATACTTCTAGTGTATGGCTAATTATGAGCAACCAGAGATTAGAGATGTAATCACCCAGAGACACAGACTGTAATCTGTGAAGTCAAGGGAGGAAAAGTATACAGATGAGCAGATTTCCAGTCTGCTGAAGAATTTCTTTTTCATCATTGAAATTTAACTTCAAAGAATGACTAATACACACACACACATACACACATAAATACATTCATATAAGCAAATAGTGCCCCTAATATAAAAGACCTGCTGTTTTTTTGTTTTTTAAGTAAAGATATATTATGAAATGGTAGAGGAGAATGGCTCCTTGATTAGGAATCGCTGCTACAAACTGCATCTTAGTCAAACAGTTGTGTACATATTGCTACGTGCTCTTGAGAAGGCTGGGCAATTCCTTGTTGTTGTTTGTTTTTGTCTTTTGTTTTACTTTGTTTTCCATTCTAGGGTATGTTACCCTGTGAAGGGCTGGTCCAAGGGACGATGTGGAAGTGCCCCCCCCCACCATCAGTGTCTGCCTTCCTGGCACTTGTCTTTTCCCTCTTGTCACAGAGACAGATGATACTCTTGGCTTTTTGATGACATGAGCAAAAAAGGTGTATACACTGTACACACACTTTCTCTACATGTGTGTAAAGAAGGCCTGTGTTTTATATATGAAACAAAAGGAAATTGGTTGAAGGGTTTCAGGATCACTTGCTGTAGGAGGGAGAGTTCCTAGAGCCCATATATTCATTTGGGTAGTAACCATCCCTTTCTTAATAGGACGCTAGCCTCGAGAAGTGCTGGCCATATTTCTACAATCTCATAGTAATAAAGTCCATGTCATAAAATGCACTTGGAAGTGTACACTTGTAATCCTACTCAGGAAGCTGAGATCTGATGATTGCAGTTCAGGCAGGAAAGTTAGGTAGTTAGACTCTTGTCTCCCCAAACTACAAAAAAGCTAGAAGTAGAGCTGTTGCTCAAGAGGTAGAGCACTAGCCTTTAGTACAAAAGCTCAGAGACAACACTCCAGCCCAGAGTTCAAGCCCTATGACTGGCAAAAAAGGGAAAAAAAATGAAAAGAAAAAAAATTTAAAAACAGAACTCCTATATTGTAGGTTGAATCTAGATTTGCTCATTCTGTTTTATTATCAAAAGAAATGGAGTTAGTCTAAGGCGGCAGTTGGCCCCTGATGCTCCTCCTCTGACCAGTTGCTCTTCTCAGTACAGTGGGGCACTTTAGAGGTGACAGGCATTCACTTGTCAGAGCCACCAATGTTCTCCTTGGTATGTCCCATGGAATTCAGAAGTACAATGAAGTGTCTTAGAGTGATGTGAAGGAGAGCAACACTAGAGTTCTCCGTGAAGGTAGATGTGGCTACTGGAGGTGTGTGCAGCATGGCTGTGACACCTACAGAGCCTCTGGTGAGCCCCAGTCCCCCGGGTGTGCAGAGGACTTTGATGTTACCACATGAAAGAGTTGGTCCCTGACCTATCACACACAAGTGCTTCTGGTGCTCATGAGGCTGGCTGTGCACTACGGATGTAGCAAGGGCTTTATGTGCCTCAACATTCTCTAAATTTGCTCTCTTCTGGTAAAACTAATAGTAGCTACTGTGGCTGCTCATTGCCTGTACCACTCAGTAAAAGAGCATTTAGTGTTCTATGCAGTGAAACAGAACTAAAACATTTTTCACTCTTCCCACCATCCTTTATGTTGCATGTCATTAATTTGCATTTATACCTCATTAGAAACACATTGCACATAAGTTAATAAACTTAGCTCACAGATTCTCACCACCCTGTAGTTGCCTCTAGGGCTACATATTCCATATCTGCTCTCTCTGATGAAACTCTACTGGTGACCCATGTGTGTAACTCCTGAGTGGTGAAACACTGCTTCGTAGTGCAGTTGCTACACTGTCAAGCAACTTGAGTGGGGGGCAGGGGGAGACAACAAACAAGTCTAGCTTTGGGCACTTACACTGAGTTGTTGTATGCTCATCGCCTGCTTCTCACTCAGCACTTGTATTTCCACAGATGGTCCTGCAGCGTACCCCATCCCGGTACAGAACATCAAGCCTCTGCTTACCATCAGCTTCACCTCGGGAGACATCAGCTTAATGAATAACTACGATGATTTGTCTCCCACTGTCATCCGCTCAGGGCTGAAAGGTACAAAACACTGCCATGTCCCAGCCCTGCAGATCAACCCTGTACACATCTGCCTTCCATCCTAATGCCATACACCAGTATCTATTGATTCTTGTCTTTGTGATAGACTCTTCTGGCGTGTGGTATCCAAAGCCCCTCTGCTTGCCTGATAAATCAGTACTTAGTCTTACCTAGAACAGGGGTTCCTGACATATGTTCTTTTTTTGACCATGCTGAGGATTAAATTGAGGGCCTCATGCTTGCTAGGCAGGCATTCTACCATTTGAGCCACACCGTCAGCCCCTGTGAAGCCCTCTCTGGCTTTTTACTGGCTAAGTGGAGATTAAGAATCTCTTGGGTTTATCTGTCCTGGCCAGCTTTGCAATGTGATTCTCAGATCTCAGTCTCCTGAGTAGCTAGGATTTCAAGAGTGAGCCACCAGTACCCTGACTCGGTCCTGCCTTTATCTGCTTCCCTCTGATAGTAATTACCTAGAGTGGTTTGCATCTGGCTGGCACTATGGTGGCACATTAGTTGGACAAGAGCTGCTGCTACTCTTGAAGCAGTGGATCGTGTTCAAATCATCATTTATGGAGAGACATTTAGGGAGGCATATTATGGGACTGATTATTGTATAATAAACTTACCTTGAAAACTTATGGAGAGGTTCCACAGTGCTCAGATGGATGTGAAGGATGGCAGTCAAGTACTGCTGCCTTCCTGGCAGACATTTTGAAATGTTGTTATTGTAAGCAAAATTAGTGCATAAAAATATTGAAAATGTTTTGAATTTTGCTTTTCATCAATGATGTGACTCTGATGGGTTCTTTAGGAATCTTGACTCAGGGTGGAGTGGTACGATGTAGAGAGATTTCAGAATCAGTTTCCTATGCTGTCCCTAGTCTTTGCTGTTACAGGGACTTACTATATTAGATCCAACTGTGCATCTAGTTACTGTTACTTAAAAGTAGCCATAGCTTAGACAGACATTGCCTTGTGCTCCTACCTGGTTTCTTTAGGAACTACAGATAGAAAAGAATGGGGTTCAGCTGGGCACTGGTGGCTCATGCCTGTAATCCCAGCTATTCAGGAGGCTGAGATCTGAGGATCACAGCTCAAAGTTAGCTCACACAGGAAAGTCTATGGCACTCTTTATCTCCAGTTAACCACCAAAAAGCCAGAAATGAAGCTGTGGCTCAAATGGTAGAATGCTAGCATTGAACACAAAGGCCAGGGACAGTCAGTCAGTCCCCAGGCCCTGAGTTCAAGTTCCAGGATTGGAACCAGGGTGTGTGCATGGTGGGGGGAATGAGGTCCAGATATGTAGCTGTTGGTTGTCAGTAACATATGGAGCCTGTCTGAATATTCCGCAAGCACTTAACTTTATTTTTAAACTGAAATATTTTTGCACTGAATTATACTCCCTCTTGGGTATCCACTCTGCTATTTTAGAGCTGTACTTGTAAGGAATGATTTAGCCCATAAACTGTGGGACAAACCATGTAGTACCACAAATAGGTTTCGTTAGAAGCTGAGTACTTTTATGCTGATGATAAACTTAAATTACTGTGTTGTTTTATGTCATTTTCTGAATATTTTAGGAATTAACATATAGGAATGGTTAGCATAAATTCCTTCATATATAGAGTAATCAAAGTTTTGTTTTTGTTTGAAAATTGGAATTTTCAGCTGGGCACTGGTGGCTCACACCTGTAATCCTAGCTACTCAGGAGGCTGAGATCTGAGGACTGCAGTTCAAAGCCAGCCCAGGCAGCAAAGTCTGTGAGACTTTTATCTCCAATAAACTACTCAGAAAAAGCTGGAAGTAGTGCTGTGGCTCAAGCGGTAGAGTGCTAAACTTGAGCACAAAGAGGCTCAGGGACAATGTCTAGGCCCTGAGTTCAAGCCTCAGGACCAGCAAAAGAGAGGGGGGGTGGGGAGAGAGAGAGGAGAGAGAAATTTTATACCTTTGACCAAGTTTATTAGTTTCTTGAGAACTCGGGGGCAGTGCCTAGGCACTGAGTTCAAGCCTCAGGATGAAATAGAGGGAGGGAGAGAGAAGAAAGAGAGGAGGGAGAGATGGGGTCTTGTTACACTTTTTACCTAAACTGTCCTCAAACCATGATCTTCTTAGCTCTACTTCCCAAATAGCTATGATTATAGATGGGAGCCACTGCACCTAGGTTTTAACAAGGAATGTTGAGGTGAATTGTTTTAATTGGCATTTGCTGTGATTCACAATTGGCCCATACAGGTTTGTCATCCTTGTCCTTATTCACCATGTTCTTTTCAGATGGGAGAGGAAGGGAAGGGAGATGAAGGAGGAAGGGAGAAGTGAGACCTCTGCAATATGGTCTCTTGATTCAGGAATGCTCTTTAGTTTGCACAGGAGGATAGAAGAACATCAGTGACTTCAAAATGCACCTCAGAATCATTTCTATGTGTTAGAGGTGGCATTATGGTCATTTGTGACGTAGTAGAGCTCAGAGACTGCTGAACTGGGTCTGGCTCTGAAATATAGGTACTTGTTGCGGCAGAGTGCCTTCTGGAAATTTAGTTTGGCCTCTACAAAATGGACAGCTCAAGTCTAGATTTCAGACATTTCTGTATAAGCCTGGTGATGGTTTTGGGGTTTTGAATAAGAAAAAGTACTAGGAATCTTACAGTACTAATAATTTTTTTTCTACCAGCAGGAAGTGATTGTTCACAGTGGGATAAGCCAGACCATTTAATAGCCATTTGTTAGATAGTGGATAGCCTGTAGGTGGGCATTGAATTTCCAGTGAGAAATTTTCTCTCTCAATACTATCTGCCACCCAGCAGAATTATCTTTCTTCTTTAATAAACCCCTATATACATCATAATCCAGTGTCAAATAAAACCTAGTACCCTCATACTTCATCTGTTCAGTGTTGCCAGACAGCAGATGAATAAACTTAGGCTTTTCTTTTCTTTTTTAGTATTTATAAACTGAGTTCTCTGTGGGTGAATCATCAGTCTCATTATCTTATTGCTTTTATAAAGTCCCCCAGTTTCATTGTGGAAATGCTAGTTATACAAGTAAAAATTATCATGCTAACTTTTTTCTTAAAATGAAAAATCTCTGTACATAGTCCAGGCTGGTCTCAAACTCAAACCCTGTTTCAGTCTCCCAAGTAGCTGATACCTGGGATTACAGTATATATTGTCATGCTAGCTTCAACATACCAGCTTTTCTCTGGTCTGGCATAATCAGGTTTCTACCTTATTTATTTTGGTTTTAGGAAAATTGCAAACCCTATCCATGTATTACATTATCTACAAAGAAATAGGTCATTAGTCTCTAGGGGAAGAGAGGCTATTTTATATTTGCTTAGCATTTTTGTTTTTTTAATTTTTATTTATTTTTTATTGTGAAAATACCGTACAGAGGGGTTATAATTACATGGGCAAGATAATGAGTACATTTCTATCAAACATTATAGCCTCCTCCTTTGTTCCCTTTCCCATCCCTTCACAGCCTTCCCCCCC